CAAGGTTCAAGGTTCTTTATTGTCATTCCCATCACATGTGGTACATGCGGTGGAACAAAATTGCCTATCCAAGGTTCCACACTCAAAAATAGTAAAAATATAAAGTATAAAAAGAAAGAGTATACGAGGATCTAAGTTATACACTACACACTAATACTGTAAAATAATACAATATATTAAAAATCAGCCTGAACATGAGTCTGCTGTGAGCAGATGGGTATGAATACAGCAGCTTAAAGGCAAGAGATCAGCAGCATGGATAATCAGCAGCACGGATGTCACATATCACCAATTAAAGTGACATTACAGGGATTTTAATTTTTTTATTTTTTATTTCATGTCTGTCTGTTCGCAAAATATCTCATAAACCATTGGAGGGATTTTAATAAAACTAGAAAGTAGTAATTGGGTGTACAGCTACAACAGTACACCCAGTGATCTACCGTGTTGCACCAATACAACTGTCACAACCAACTACCCTTTGAAACCAAGTAAATTGATATAACTCTGCCAGACTGACAGATGTTGAGCTAAATTTAGGTATGGAAGTAGCTGAGAGTCATCCTCAACACATTCAAGCTTTATCACATCTGGCACAATCTTACAACTATTGATTGAGATTGCATCAAACATAATTTACAAGGTTTGACTAAAACAGCTGTAACTCTGTCCCTTCTTAGTTTTAGTATAAATCTGTGGCATGAAAGGAGACAGGCGATATTCACTCCTTCAAGGCCTTCAGTATTTTAAGCAGGGTTAGCAATAATCATCAAATAAATGCATTTTACAAACTATGACCAACAACTTAGCTTCTAAATTACATTCTCTTCTTGTATTTAATGCATTGCATAATAGATTTTACTGTCATGATCAGACATCAAATCATGATGTGCAGAAGAACCTGACTGCACCAGCGTTTTTATACAGTATCTGAATACAAACAAACTATGTATTTCCTCTGTCTCACTAAAGGACGATGAGATCAACCACCAGAGCCAGATGGTGGAGAAGCTGAAGGAGCAGATGCTCGACCAGGAGGAGGTAAGAGATCTTGGTTTTACATACTCTCATCAGTTTGGTTAAATGGCTCACAGTGGGCTGCTGCTCCTGCAAAGGAGCCAACAGTAAATAGAAGTCAGCTGTAAGAGGTTTACTGTCCTGTCCTTGAGATGAATGAGATGGAAAATACAACTCTCCTGGTGCCAAAGAAGCCTCTGACTTTGTTTATTTGCTGTTGCTCGTTTGTTGGTGCAGTAATGATTAGAGCTGATTAAAAGTGAACACGTTTCAGTCACTGCTTAGGCACAACTTGGAAGAGTAAATGTAAAGACAGGAAAAATAACTAAAGCTCAACTAAAGCTTTTCTTTACAATCGGCATAACTTTTTCATTATGAAGCAAAAAAGAAAAAAAAAATCAAATATCCTCTTGTGATTTATTAAATTTAGGACTAACAAGAAATGGTTTAGACCACTTTATTAAGCAAGCAACAAATTTAGTAGATGCTTCTGGGGAAAACAGCCCTTTAACGATTTAATAAAAAGGTAATAATAGAGGTATTTTATAGGAAGTATTCATTACAGTGGCGACAAAGAATTTTATAATATAATAATATATGTTAGCATGAATTAAAATGGGGTAAAAGGGGGCTTCGTGTGCAAAATCTGTTAATTTGTATCCCATAATGCTCCTGCTCTGGGTTGAGCTGACTTCATTATGGGCAGACCACAGATTGAGTCTTGTAGCATCCATTTGTTCAAACAAAAGCTGTGAGATGGTGTAAATATTAAGGAACCCCACGAAGAGCAACATCTACGTTTAATGACTCATTCAGGGAAATAACCCTCAGTGGTCTGCAGCAAGAGAGCAAACACTGCAGAGCAAAATGAAATCTGTTACAATATCTGTATTGTGTTCTCTGTAGGAGATCAATATTGAAACAGCATCCTTGGTAAACAAGAGTCCTCCTATACAGTTGACTTTTTGCTCCATCTCTTTGGAAAAAACCTTTTTATATGCAACAAAAGGTGGCTTCTGGGTAATACCAGATGGCTAGGCCTCAGACTGACGAAGCCTCTTGGATGAGGGGCGAAACGTTTCTTTTTAACAAAAAAACGAAGTCCAGATGACATGATTCAACCTTTTTTGTTGTTATATACCTGGATGACTGAGAAAACAAACTTTGTCTTTTTATATGCAGCTTATATATTCAGCTGAATCTCCGTGTTTTTCAGCTTTTAGCATCATCCAGGGGAGACGGTGAGAGGGTGCAGGCGGAGCTCTGCAGGCTGCAGACAGAGAATGAATTGGCTAAAGCAGAGGTGAAGGAGGTGCTTCAGGCACTTGAGGAGCTGGCGCTAAACTATGACCAGAAGAGCCTGGAGGTGGAGGAGAAAAGCATGCAGAACAAGCTCCTGGCGGAAGAACTCACCAAAAAGATGGTGAGTCAGACTTTCAGCAGGCTTGTTGTAAAGGTGCTCCACAACAAACTATAATAAATTGTATGTTGTGATGGATTTATTGAAAAAGGAGAAAGATTTATAAGATAGTTTGTAGACGGATTTGAAATATGTTCATTGTAAGCTTCTAAAGACAAATTATCTGAGTTACTAGAGTAAAATACAATTAGAAACTTTACTATCTTTTATGAAAATACACGGTGAATAATCAGCGCTGAATAACTTAACAGAAATTTAGTGAAGCTGATACTGAATAATAGAAAACATGCAGAACTGAAGCTTATTTTAGCAAACCAGGAGCTAAAAGATGAACTTAGCAAAACCATAGTTAAAATCTAAAATTAGCAAAAATATTGCTAAAGGCAGAACAATAGAAAAACTCAAGCTAAATGCCAAAATTACAAACTGTATCTTAAAGGACACAAAACCATAGCTAAATTATAAAATTATCAAAACAGTAGCTAAAAGCTAAATGGAGCATACAAAGACTAAAATACGGCAAGTACATTTCAAGGAAGTAGATTTAAAAGAAAATAATGTGTTGAAGCAAATGAAGCTATCTTAATGTATTTTCTTGGGTATTTTGTTTTTTGAAAATAAATGTAAATATATTTGAAAAAAAAAAAAAACTATATAAAAGCAACAAAAGGTAAAAGTTATGTCACCCTTCTCCTTAACTAGCTGAACCTGTGATTACATGTGAAGGGCTCAAATAGCACAAAGTATGCAGAAGTAGATTGACTGTCAATATCAAATTTATTTATACAGCACATTAAAAAATTAACAGTGTTGACAAAATTGCGTTTCAAGGAGGTCAAGAACAAACAGGATAATAAAATAAATTTAAAAATCCCACGAACAAATGTACAAGTACAATGAAGAAGGCTAAAAACAAAGTGGAAGAAGGAAACATCACAACATCAAAACTCTGATGGAACTCAAAGTCCAAAGGTGAATTTTTAAGCAGGATTTAAAAAAAATTAAATAATTATTTATTGGCCAAAACTTATGGAAGAAACAAGGATAATTATAATAAATGATCCACAATTTGTTCCTTTTTAATCTCGCCAGCTTCTGCAAAGTGTGCAGAGCTTTTCATGCACACATTCATACTGTGCTTTCATTTATATATTTTTATACACTATATACAGCACTGGTTTTATATTCTCACTGATACACATAAAAGAAGTCGGGGTGCAGTTTATTTTCTTCGGCAAGCTGGAGGGACTGGGGATTGTACCCCCAGCCCTCTGATCAGAGGGCAACCACCATCCCCACCGGGCCAAGCCCACTGAGTGAATGTTGACTCAGTCAGACACACGCCTCTTTTATGATTGTCTTTTGTTGTCGTCCACTGTTGTCATCACTCTCTGCTGAAATCAGGTCTCTCTTGTAAATGAGTCCTCAAGGCTCAATGGGATTAACCTGTCTAAATAAAGGTTGAATAAATGAAAAAGTTCCATCCATCCATCCATTCTTTACGAGCTACTTCCTGTTCGGGGAGTCAAATCTGCAGCCTTCTTGCTGCAAGGCTACAGGGACAAACAACTTTTCCACTGAGCAGCTCTGGATTTACATGCAAAGAGAAATAAGAGCTACATTTTGACAAAGTGCACTGCCTGCAGCTGTGCACAGATTTGTGCTCAGCAATAAAACTCTTAAGGGGTGGCAGCCATCCCAACTACCAGAAGAGGCCATAACAGAAACCACAGAGGACGTTCACTGGCCTCTTCTTGACAACTTGTTTATGTGAGAGAAGTAAGAGCAGCCACAGATGACAAGGTCGTTAACAACGTCTGATTAGGTCAGTTAGCATACTTTAAGAGTATTAACGTTATGACATTTTACATTGTGCTAAACTGCTGTATGTGTACTGTGAAGTACTGTTGATTCCAAAACCAATAATAGGAGCTGACAATTACTGCACACTTCAATTGCCTAAACTCAGCTGCCCCCTCAATTTCTTCTCCATCTTTTCATTTAACACCACTTCCCCATTTCCACTGTGTTCTGCCCATACTTCTCACCTGACAGGATCTCTCTCAGCGGTGCCATCTGGCACAAAATGAGAAACAAAATACAAACAAGAATCCAATACGAGTCGATACAAGGAAAGGGATGGAGCAATAATCACATTACTGCAGCTTCACGGGGCTTTTCCGCAGCTCCATCCTTTATCTTTACAGCCACTTTTTCACTTTCTGCATTCCAGTGCTTGTGACTGGTGTTGTACTTTTTGAAAATTTTCTTTATCTAGAGTAGAAACACTGCAGCGCTGCCTTAGAAAAATGGTGCAAAGAAGCGCATTCATCATTTGAACTGTCTTCTCGGCTTTCTTCATCTTTATGTTCAGAAGAAACTCCTCGCTTCTTCAGCAGGAAGTCATCCCATCACTCACTGTCACTGTCATCCGTCTGCTCCTTCTAGCACCTTCTTCCATCCATCTGGCCTCTCGGTCCCCTTTTCTATCATTTTGATTAACAGTATTTGTGATTTCAACCGTCCTCTGAGGAGTACGTCTTCATAAATCCTTCTTTATCTAAACAGAACATTTTTATTGACTTTGTATCTCAAGTCTTTGATAAAGGAATTAGTTTTAGCTAATGATATACTGCTGTTGCTTTTCAGTTAACTGGAAAGTGGTATAAAACTGACAACAGAGCTTTAAGATATTAAAAAGATGAAAATGCAGTGGATTAATTTATGTTAATTTCTGAATGATCCAGAAATATATAACAAAAACAACAAAGACAAAGTCCAAACTAATGAAATTTAAAAGAAAATGGCAAAACTTAAACTAGATTTGTGTTATGCATACATTTTTCCATCCTGCAGGAGACTGAAAATGGTAGACCCATTAGATTATTTAATATTGCTCTTTAGATTTGCAGTCATGATGATAAATCAGTTTAAGCAAGCCTCAGCTCTAACAGCATGCACGATGCCTCACGCTGGATAATGATGCATCATTTTAGATAATTCATCTTTCATATGGACGTTTAACTGCGACAAGGTGTTTTTAAAACAGTCCCAGCTTTTAAGACAATATAACATACAATATATGTTTCAAAGTCTCAGAGATATTTAATATGATAAGATGCTCAGAAGTGTTTGCTCAATCACTTAAGCTGGATATAATTTAGTTTATTTAATTTGAACAAGTAGCATCTGTTTCACAATACTTGGCAACTTAAGGAGAAACAGAGAGACAATTTTCCTACCTCTTTTAAATTTAATATTACAGAAAATAAACAAAAAAACAATCAATACATTTGTAAGACAAAATAATGAGACATAATCCATCCATTTTCTTCCGCTTATCTGGGGTCGGGTCACGGGGGTAGCAGCTTAAGTAGGGAGGCCCAGACTTCCCTCTCCCCAGCCACTTGGGCCAGCTCCTCAGGGGGAATCCCGAGGCGTTCCCAGGCCAGCTGAGAAACATAGTCCCTCCAGCGTGTCCTGGGTCTTCCACTGGGTCTCCTCTCGGTGGGAGGTGTCCGGAACACCTCACCAGGGAGGCGTCCAGGAGGCATCCTAACTAGATGCCCAAGCCACCTCAACTGGCTCCTCTCAACATGGAGAAGCAGCGGCTCTACTCTGAGTCCCTCCCGGATGATCGAGCTTCTCACCCTAACTCTGAGAGAGTCCAGACACTTTGAGGAGAAAACTCATTCCGGCTGCTTGTATCCGAGATCTCGTTCTTTCGGTCACAACCCAAAGCTCATGACCATAGATGAGGGTAGGAACGTAGATCGATCGGTAAATTGAGAGCTTCGCCTTTTGACTCAGCTCTCTCTTCACCACGACAGACCTGTACAGCGCCCACTTCACTGCAGACGCACCGCACTGCTCCTCCTGAATCTGAGGATCGACTATCCGACGAACCCCCCTCTCCAGAACCCCCGAATATACCTTACCAAGGAGGCTTAAGAGCGTGATCCCCCTGTAGTTGGAACACACTCTACGGTCCCCCTTTTTGAATAGGGGGACCACCACCCCGGTCTGCCAATCCAGGGGAACTTCCCTCGATGTCCACGCAATATTGCAGAGTTGCATAAGCCAGCACAACTCTACAACATCCAGAGCCTTAAGGAACTCCGGGCGAATCTCATCGATCCCTGGGGCCCTGCCACCGAGGAACTTTTAACCACCTCGGTGACCTCAGCACCAGGGATTGGAGGGCCCGACCCAGAGTCCCCAGGCTCTGCTTTCTCAGTGGAAGACGTGCCGGTGGGATCGAGGAGGTCTTCAAAGTATTCCGTCCACTGACCCACAACATCCTGAGTTGAGGTCAGCAACACACCACCCCCACTATAACAGTGTTGGTGGTGTACCGCTCCCCCCCCCCCC